ACTTCGACTGTGTTCCAACAGACTCAAATGTTTTTAATTCCGTACATTATGGTGGTACGTAATTAATATTGTAATAAAATGTGTGTATTTTTTGTGATCATTTCTGTTTCTTCATTGTGAAAATCAATGACGACGCAACTAATTTAGTAATTTGATTTTCTCTCAAAGACGTAATCTGTCACTTGATAAATCAAAATTTTCATTTGCACTCTTTTTCGAGGGGGGTGCTCGGGTAAGTGTCCACCCCTACAAAATCGTGATTTTCTGAGTTGAGGCCCCTGGGCGCTAACGCGGTTGAGTACGGTAATATGAGATTATTTCGATTATACCACAAAATATGCTTGAGGGCAGTATGGTGATTGTATAAACAATCATACAGTTTTCTTAGTTTGTGAGTGCAGTTGATCTAGCTTGTGGGAAATAAACAGGGAGTTGGGAAAGAAAGTCACACGCCGCTGCACGATTCCAAGGCCAAGGCCATTTGCATATATCATCAGAAGTGACTTGTCTTACACTAATAATCATAATTCTTCGTGACCGTCATATGTAGCCCTTATAATACTACATATCATTTTTTAGCATAGGGCACTGAACAAATTTGAGATATGATTATATATGATATGATATGATATGATATATATGATATGATATGATATGATATGATATGATATGATATGATATATGATATGATATATGATATGATATATGATATGATATATGATATGATATATGATACATGTATGATATGATATGTTTCTGCCATTTTTTGATATCTGCCAATTTTTTGTGGACAACATAGTTAGGTGATCATTTATTTTTAGTTTCAGAATTTTGAAAATTTAGAAAATTTCAAAAATTCTTTTTTTAATGGTGACAAACTACTCAAGTGCAAACATTTACATTTAGTGACAGAACTCCATTTCCATCATGATCTAATAACACATCTGCATCTGAGGAAAGTCTTGAGTGTGACGTAAACATGATGCACAATTTCCAAATAAAGAAAACATCTGAACACATCCTTAAAACTTTCAAACATGTCTGTATATCATTTTACGGATATCCGGCAGTAAATGTCTAAGAGTCAGATGTATAATAATGGAAGGACTATAATAAATAAATAAATACACCAACTAAACAATAATTCCTTACTGTTACAAGAGAAATGACGAAAAGAAAGCGATGCTTACCCTCTGCTTCTTGTGTAGAAGTTGCCTTCATGACATGGTACCGGTATAGCATGTGGATCTATGTCACTTTCCGGATCTGGTACACAAGTAGGATTCCACTCAAAAATCTCCTTGTAGCCAAAGTCACTGTTAATGTCACATAAAATGGTGGTAAGATTTATTATACTACCCAGATGATTTGCTAGAGGGTTATATTATACTGATCTACTAGAGGGTGATATCAAACTGATCTACTAGAGGGTGATATCAAACTGATCTACTAGAGGGTGATATCAAACTGATCTACTAGAGGGTGATATCAAACTGATCTACTAGAGGGTGATATCAAACTGATCTACTAGAGGGTGATATCAAACTGATCTACTAGAGGGCGATATCAAACTGATCTACTAGAGGGTAATATCAAACTGATCTACTAGAGGGTGATATCAAACTGATCT